TTCACACCGAGTCAAAATTAATTTCTGCAGCTCCACCAGGAGCATCCTACAGATCCCACCAGGAGCATCCTGCAGCTCCACCAGGAGCATCCATCCTGCAGCTCCACCAGGAGCATCCTGCAGCTCCATCAGGAGCACCCATCCTGCAGCTCCACCAGGAGCATCCATCCTGCATCTCCCACCAGGAACATCCATCCTGCAGCTCCCACCAGGAGCATCCATCCTACAGCTCCCACCAGGAGCATCCATCCTACAGCTCCCACCAGGAGCATCCATCCTACAGCTCCCACCAGGAGCATCCATCCTGCAGCTCCACCAGGAGCATCCTGCAGCTCTCACTGGGGTTTCTGAGGGACAGAAGGCAGTGAGATGTGCAATTTCCCTGAGCCTCTGCCCAGCTGGGAGGGCACAGAGGTTCCTGCTGCACCTGGCACAGCCCTGAGGGTGAGATGGGTGGGATGGTCCCTGCACAGCAGGACACGGGCACAGACCGAGCCCCAGCTGAGTGATGTGCAAAGCACCCAAAGCTTCATCTAAAAGGCTCTGCCAAGGCAAAAATCACTGAGGAATGGAGACATTTGGACAGATGTCCATCCCCCTGCAGGTGCTCCATACCTTTGTTTGCTGGAGATGTCCTCAGCCTTGGGCTTCCAGCCCCAGGGCACGAGGCGCAGGTTGTCCAGGCGGTTGTCCACGGTCACCGAGTTCAGGTGCACCACCTGGAAGCCAGGAGCAATCCCTCCCCTGTGCCTCTCCCTGCAGGACACAAAACCAACCTGAGGGTCAGTGCTGCACAGGAACAGCGATAAAAACCAAAGGATCACAGCAATTCCAGAGGCAGAGTGAGCTGGGAGCTGCTGGCACTGGGCTGCAAACAGACTCCAGGGGCTACTCCCAGGAGAAAGTGCCTTCTTCCAGCAGGTGGCTTCAATTATAAATTAGTTGAATCAAATATAGAGTAATTTTAAGCATATTGCTTAGTTCCAGAGTCTACTCCTCCAGTTACTGCTGAAGATCCATGCAATTACAGTGCTCCTTGGAAGGTGCCAATACTGGATTTTTATTCCCATAGGAAATTCTATCAGACACATTTGTGCAAGTCTGGCACTGGTGTGCTTATTATTTATGAAGAAACATAAATAATGAACAGCAGCAGGACAGAGGTTTCACCAAGTATGCAAATCTTTTGAGACTGTAATTGTGTGTCACACACTGAAAGTCTGAAATTACCCCACAATTGACCAAGAGACACCTGAAACTTGCCCAAAACCCAAAGCAGGGCTAAGCTAAGCCAGGATGGCTGCAGGGAGAAATGTTCCCTACTGCCTTCTAGGAGTTTCCATTGGCCTTTCCCCCTTCTTTTCACCTCTCCTCTCTCTGTTTTATCCAGTTCACTGTCAAACACCCTCAAGCCTGGAAAAGTTTTGGTGTCACTTCTTGCAGGAATCCCCATCCCAGCTGAAATGCAAGGCTTGGACAGAGGGCTGTGTCCCTGTGACTGCTCTGCCATGGGGAGAACAAGGACCAAGCAGAGCTGAGAGCACTCACTGAGGGGAACCCAGCACCTCCCCATGGACACCTCCCAGCAGCTCCCCCCAAGCCCAGCCTGGACCCTGAGCCCTGCTCAGCCTTCACTGAACATGGCAGCTCAAATAATTGTTTTAATTTTGAAGAGAAATTTGTCTGAGTTTAAAAAATCATGCCTTTTTTAACCTTTATAAAGCTCAGCAGAACAGGAAACTCATTTTAATGTACCTTACAATGAAATATACAGGATTTTGTATTCTTGGTCTAAATCCATCTAGATATGTCCAAGTTATGTACCTTGGGGGTAAGAAAAACTCTTTAACTTCACATATGCCCCAAAACTTTGTAGAATTTAATGAGGAGAATCCCCCTGGAGAGGCTGCAAGCAGCACCTCACACAGACTGTGCTGCAGCTCCCACCAGGTAAATCCTGAGAGAATTCCCTGAAGGGAACAGAGCCTGCAGCCCCCTGCCAGGGAATCTGCTGGCCCTCCATGGAACAGGGAAAAGTTCTTCCCTTTGAGGGTAAAACCAATAAAATCCTTCTTTTGGGGAAAAAGAAACCAAACCACACACATTAAAGCAAACAAACTATGGCAGAGAGTCAGCTGAAGTGCCCTAAAGGAGGAATCCCAGCTTGATTGGGTTGGAAGGGAATTTAAAACTCAGGGAATTTAAAACTCCACTATTGCAGGGTGCTCCAAGCCCCATCCAGGCTGGCCCTGGACACTTCCAGGGGTTCCCCACCCTGCCAGGGAACAATTCCTAATTCCCAACATCCCATCCCTCCCTGCCCTGGCACTGGGAGCCATTCCAGCAACAGCTGAAATGCCCTTCTGAGCTGCTGAGGGCCAGCAGAGGGGCTGGCAAAGGGAATCAGGAGTCCCAAGAAGTGCAGAAGTGCTGGAGGGGAGCATCAGACAGACACTGGGACAGGGAAGGAGTGAAGGTTCTTAGAATGAGCTGGGACCAAGTGCCAGCTGCAGAGCTGGGACAGACAGGGACAGGAATCTGGGAGGAGACAGAGGCTCAGAGCAAGAACAGACTGTGCAGGGGGGAAAGGGAAGGGGATTCCAAGGCTAAGTTCAGAAATATTTTGGATTTTATTAGCTGAGTTTAGAACTGCTGGAGCTGGGGAAGGAGAGAGGATGATGAGGATTGTCCCTGGCACTGGGGTGGCACAGCAGAGTGGCACACAGCTACCCCTGCTCCTGCACAGCCCACATCTGCACCCAGCACCCCAAAAAGCAAATTCTGACCAAATCCCCTCCCACACTGAGCCAGTCGTTACCTCCTTGTATAAAACCACATTTATCTACATCACTGCCAGCTCTTCTGTGCCCTCAAGTGACAGAAGCCCAAGCAAAGCTGGAAGCTGTGCCTTGCTGGTGAGCAGCCAGGGTTAAACCCCACTGCCCTGAGGTGCCACATCTGGTAATGCCAAATTCAGGGTGGACCCTTCTCCCCAAGCTTGGAACACAGGAGCATTCCCCTCCCTCCCCAGGCCTCTGTGACCATCCCAGCTCATCCAAAGTGAGCAGCAAGGACAGACAGACAGACCCTGCCTTGGGAACAGCCTCAGGATGCAGCCAGAACTGCAGGGCTGGAGCTCCTGATCCCCCTGCACGCCTGAGCTCCTGCAAGATGCCAGGCAAAACCTTCCCCAGGGATCATCTGGGTTCTGTTCTTTGGGTATTTCAGCAGCTCAGAGCCCAGGGCTGGAACACAAGTGCAGACACAGCAATTCCAAGCACCAGGAACCAGAGCTGAGCCTGTTATAGGCAGCAAGATGGCAAGTGCTCTTAACAAACATCCTTAAAACCCCCCAGAAATCAGGTCCTGGATGTCTTTTTGAACATACAGTTGGTGCTACTTATGACTAATCCCCTTCTGCTGCTGCTGCTGTTCCCCAGGGAACATCCCCACACCAGCAGAGCAGAGCTGGGATGGCTCCACAGGGAGCTGAGCGGGGCCAAGGCTCCTGCAGAGACCCCAAACCCTGCTTGGGGGAGCCAGGGCTCCGTGTGGAAATCACAGCCAGCACATGAGAGGCTGAGAACCAGCAGGAAGTTCTCCCTGTAAGAATTTTTGCAGCTCATGAGGGGAATTTCCAGCTCCTGGATCCCACAGTGTCTCTGCACTGGGCTCTGGGAGAAGGTTCCTGTCACTGCTGCAGCTCCAGCAGAGCCAGGGTTTCCATCCCAAGGGCCTCATGACATGAGCAACAATACCTGCTGAACTAGAATAGAAAAAAAATTCAAAAAATCTGTTTTACTTGCATCTACCACATGCTACTCACTGTCTCTATAATCCAGAGGCACACAACTGGGTTGGGTTTTTGATATTTTTGGGGGGTCATGTGCAGAGAACAACTGAATTACACACCTACACCTGCAGCAATCCATGATCTTTGGTTTTCATTCACCCAAGGAGTCAGGCAGGCAGTGCAATCAGTGCCTGGCTCTGCCCAGCTCTCCTGGCTCCAAACCTCCAGCACTGCCCCTGCTCACAAGGGAAGGCCCTGACACTGCTCCCAGCCCTGCTGTGTGCTCACAGCAGCCCAAAATTGCTGTTTAGGAGGGGCAGAAACTTCACAGCCCTGCAGAGACTCAGCCTCTGACCTGCAGCTGAACATCAGCACCACCACCACCTTCAGGACCAGGGTGAACTCACAGAACAGCACAGATATTTTATATCTTCTATTTCAAAAACCTGACTGCAAATTCAGAAGTGCAGCTCTGCTTGCCTGGCAGCTGCCACCCCCCTCTGTGCCTCTCCAAAATCCCCATTACACACAATCTCTTATTTTTAACCACAGCCCATGCTCGAGTGACACAATTTGAATTTCCTAACTGAATATGTTCAAATGACTTCCTAATTTGAGTGAAACAAGCCAGGAGAGGCAATGGCTGGGCTGTGTCATAAACAAATAGCTGGGATGTCATCATTTGCACAGCCCTCAAGAACTGACCTGAATAATTTTCAGGTGCTGTTTAATGCTCCTTACAGATAATAATTATGACTGTCTGAGGTTCACAGTTAGCAGCAGCTGTCAGGGATTTGCTCCACATACTGCAGCCAATTTCATAATTTCAACAAAGTTCTATGTGCAATAAGATTAAATATTAACAGATGCAGGTTAAAATCCATATTTAATAAGCAGACTGCAAATATTAATCTGATATTCCTCCTGTCTCCTTCCTCCTATGCAAAGCCTGATTCTAGGGGATAAAAGGTAACCTGGAATGATGAAGGGCATCCTGGGCACTGTGGCTTCCAAAGATGTGGAAGTGAGTAGAAAATGTGCTTAATTTTTCCAAAGAGGCTTTTAAAATAAGATTTCTTCAGCAGATCCCACCTTTTGTACAAACCCATCAACATCTAGGAGCAACAGATGAGCTCAGAGGGTGAGCTGCTCTTACAAATGAGGAAATTGATCCTGAAACTTAATAATAAGTATGAAGGATTTCAAGGATTTGTAGAGCATGGAAAATAAGAGTATGGAAATGAACCATCAGCAGCATCACCTCAGGCAGTTTTGCCATAAAAACACATCAAACTTTGAAGTTATCGGGAGGTCCCTCTCTCCAGTGCTCTGATAATTCTGAGAAGACAAAAAACTTCAAAGGTTTGTCTTCCTCTATCAAAAGGGACAGGTCCTGTTCATCCCCCAGCTGAAGTTTGGGCAGCATTCCCAGGTGTGAACAGGGTGTCCACGGCCCTGGCTCTGCTCTCCCTGTCTGGAACGTTCCATGGCTGTGCCACGTAAGCATATCCTGCACCCCAAACCCTGTGGGCACCCCGAGCTGGGTTTGCCCCTCTCCTGAGGGCATTTGGGCACAGGGATCATCCCTCCCAGCCCGGGTTTGTGCTGCCTGCAGTACCCACCAGAGCAGCTCGTGCAGGAGGCGCCCCGAGCCCCGGCCCCGGTTCTTGTCGAAGGCGTAGGCGAAGATTTTAGCACCGTTCCCATCAGCATCCACCTCCATGCGAGCCTAGAGGGGAGGGAAAGGCTGTGAGAGCAGCACANAACCCCTGTGAACACCATCACACACCCCAGCAGCTTTCCCAGGAGGAACCAGCAGCATTCCCAAGGAGCTGCATGATCAGGTGCTTGTCCATGGTCACAGAGTTCAGGTGCAGCCCTGAGAGCCAGGAGCAATCCCCCCTGTGCCTCTGTCCATGCCTGTCACCAACAGCTGACAGGACAAGGCTGGGTGAGAGGAATATTGGGAGGAAATCCTTCCTGGCAGGCCCTGGCACAGCTGGGGCTGCCCCTGGATCCCTGGCAGTGCCCAAGGCCAGGCTGGGCAGGGCTGGGAGCAGCCTGGGACAGTGGGAGGTGTCCCTGCCCATGGAATGAGATGAATTGTAAAGCCCCAGCCCAAACCAGTCTGGGATTCTGTGAAACACAAACACCCCACCATGTGTTTCAGAGAACAGAAGGGTTTGAAGCAATCCTCCTCATTCTTCTAAAATGGGCTTAATTTATAGACAAAATATTGGAGCATTACACATTTGTTGTCACAATGCTCCTCTTTTATCAACTTAAGTTCTGTTTTCAACTACAAACAAACACCTGAAATTCAGAAATTATCAGGAGGGCTGCACAAGCTCAGCCATTGCCAAATTAATGTTATCCAGGGAGCTTTTGGGCACAGACCCAAATAAAAAGCAGAGCTGCCTCTGTTTCAAATACAGGGAATTTAAGATCATTTTTGCAAATGTTCCCTTGCCCACAGCAGAATGTGGAACACAATGGGTTTAGCCTAGTCAGCATCTGCTATCACAAGAAAAGCCCTTGTTTCTAGATAAGGCATCTGTGTGGCAGAGGCACAGCCCTTGCACAGCTCATTCTCCCTCTCCTGATGTTGCTTTATCTTCCTCCAGCAGAACTTTCCCTCCCAGCTCTCCCCTGGATGAATTGCAATTCACCTTCACCTCAGGAAATGGCAACCAGGTTATTTTTTGATTCCATGACCATCCAAGCCCTCCTAGAATGCTCCCTGCTGCCTCACACAGCTGCTCACTCATCCCAGCTCTGCTCCTGCAGCAAAGCTCCCACCTGGCTTTCTGTGCACTCTGCAGAAATCCCCAGCAGCCCCAACATCCACTGCTCCAGCTCAAACCCACATTCCCTCCTGTGAGAAAACTGAAAACTATCACAGGCTCTGGAGGTTCAGCCAAAGAAAACCTGAGTGGCAGAAAATCATTGCTTTTAGCCACTGAATGGCTCATGTAAAGCTCTACATTTTAAATAACAAATAAACCCCCAGACACACCACTATGCCAAGGATTCCCTGCTCACTCCCAGCTCTCTGAACCCACCTGTTTTTCAATCATTGTGCAGGGAGGGTAGTGACATTCATAGTAAGTGCAGGAGTTCTCTTCCTCCTCCACAACATCCCCATTAGCATTGTAATATCTGGTTACATTCAGGACAGGAAACTGCTCCTCTATGGGGTCTGTAGGAAGTTGTTGGATTGCCAGCCAGTACAGACTTTGTTCCCTGGAAAAAAAAAACAAGTACAAGTTTGGTACACCAATTTATAATAATCATACAGAGACATCGATTCCAAATTTATTAATAAATCAGGTTAACATTGTATTTAGCCTCAAAGCACATCCTGGTCATATATTGGGTGTTTTTAAGGCTATTTTAGCCTAAGTGCAAACCCCAAAAGTTTAAAGGTATCAATAAAGAAACATTTACATCGAGCAAAGTTAATTCTGTGCAAAACTANCTGTCCCCCAGGACCAGCAGCATCTCCAGGAGCCACCCAGACCCATACACTGGCTCACTGCTGCCTCACTGTGCTCCTGAATGTGTTTTCCCAAACCAAATAAAACATCTCTTCTTTCCACTCCCTCACCTTGTCTCACTACAGTGCCCAGATGGGTTTGTGGAGTCCAGAAGTTTTTGAAAATTGGGGTTTCTCCCAGAGCTGTGTTGCTGTGTTCGAATTACATTTGTTAGTAAAATGAAACGTTTGGTTTTATTTTGCTGTCAACACCCCAACAGCTGCAGACTGGGAAACACCCAGAAAACATTCTGTGTCCTTCCTGAGCGTGTGGCTGCTCCTCAGGCAGAGCAGTGGGATCAGGGTTTGGTGTTTGTGGGTGCTCACTGCTTACAGGGATCAGGATTTGGTGTCCCTGGGTGCTCACTGCCTGCAGGGATCAGGATTTGGTGTTTGTGGGTGCTGGCCTGGGCACTTCCAGGCAGTTCTTTCAGTAATTTAATAAATAAAAATCACATTATTAAATGGTCACATTTTTTCACTCCTGGCTGCTGAGTTTGATGTGTCTTCACTAAAACAAATTTCCACTTTTGAGAGCTGCTCAATCCATGTAACAATCTCTGATCCTTCATCTTGTGACCCCAGTATGATTCTTTTCCTGTTCCCTGTCTGCCTCTCATGTCTTTATCCATTTTCTTGGGTGAAAACTGAAGATTTCCCACTGTCCCCATGACCAGTGAGGTCTGGCTGGAATGGGGAAGGGTGAGGTGGGACAGGGACATGTTGAATGCAGAAATGCTCAGCAGGGTTGAACATGGTCACCAATTCAAGGATATCCTGTTGCAGGCACCTTTGCCTTCTGCTTTCTCATCTTGGAATCATTTTGTTGGTGCCTCTGGTGTGTTGCCCTTGGCTCTGCCCTGCATTTCCCTGCCAGCCAGCTTCCCTTCCTGCTCAGTGCTCTGAGTTCTCCTGGGAGCTGGCTCTGAGCAGCATTTCAGTCATCTGAGCTGGTTAGAGAGGCAGAAATTGGGATGGAAGGGAAGGAGCCACAGAAGTGCTGGAGATGGGTTTGCTGTGGCCCATGGCTGTCCCAGTGAGGGCTGGGACAGCAGGACAGTGACTCAGGGTGTCTCTGTCTCCTTGTTCCTGCAGGGAAAGGAAGAGGGATAAATGACACTGAATTATTTTACTTTTTCAGCGAGGATCTCTGTCTGTAAAGGTTTTACAGAGGTTTTGGCAGAGCTCTCCCTGCTCAGGGCACCTCCCTGGCTGGGTGCTGTGAGGAGCTGCTCCCCAGGAGCCTTTGGGGGCAGCTGGCAGGCCCAGAGCTGGCAGAGCAGCAGCACTTTGTGTGCAGCACTGGCTCCACTGAGCCCTGAGCTGTGCCCCACTGGTGAAGCAGTGCCTCTTCTGTGCTGGGTTTTAGTTGCTTAGGGATTTTAAGTGTTTAAAAAGTCACTGAAAGTGTTTAAAGTGTTTCTCCCTGTTCAGGGCTCGCTCCCAGCCAGGTCCCTCTGGGAGCCCCTTTCAGCTGCAGCCTCAGCTCAGGCTCTTTGTGCTTTGCCCATTTGTGCCCCCTGGTCCTGTGCAGCCACAATAAATAGAAAATAAAACCCTTTTTCTCCTTGATTTCATTGCCCAACTCTTTTCCAGCATCCCCACTGGTGCCACCTCCTTCCCAGCTGCTCTGCCCATTCCCTGTCCAGCCACAGCTTTCTGCCTTTCCCTCAAACTCTGCCAGCAGCTCCTTTACCCCACTGCTGGCTCAGAGCCTGTCCCAGAGCTGCCTGGTGTCTGTTCCCTCAGCCACCTGCGCTCCTGATTCCCCCTTTTGGCATCTTCCTGCCCCTTTCCTCTCTCAGGCTCAACTTCTCTTCCCTGGAATCCTTGCTCTCGGTTCTTTGTTATTGTGCCAGAATTGACTTCGTGTTTAAATAATTTGGGTTTTATCCTTGGTACTTGATTTCTTGATACAGCTTTTTAATTTTTAATTCCTGGAGTAGACCCTGCATTTCTCTGATCCCTCAGCAACCTTTCTGTGCCTATCCCAGGGCTGACCCAGACAACCAACCCCTCTCAGACCACAGCAGGGATTGAGTGCCTCATGTTTGTACTTCCCTGTGCTGGAACTGCCTGTCCAACTAAACAAAGACCTTCACTGACACAATTATTTTCTTTTTATTTTCCCCCCAACTCATTAGGTCCCAGTTGTGCAGCCCAGGCTCCCCAGCAAGCAGAGAGCCCAGGATCCCTCAGCCTTTCTCTGCAGTGACCACCTGTGCCCCTGGGCAGGGCTGAAGATGCCTCTGTTCTCCAGGAAGAAGAAACCCAGCGAAGATGCTCGGAAACGCCTCGAGTACCAAATGTGCCTGGTAAGCCCTGCCAGGGTCATTTCTGTCCTGAGCCTGGGCCTTGGGTACCAGATGTACCTGGTTAGCACTGCCAGGGTCATTTCTGTCCCCTGTGCCTGCTCAGCACTGCCAGGGTCTGTGATGGTGCTGTGATGACTGTTCCAGGGTCTCAGGATGAGGGAAGAGATGAGGATCTGACTCCATGTTTCAGAAGGCTTGATTTATTATTTTATTATATATTATATTAAAACTATACTAAAAGAATAAAATAAAGGATTTCATCAGAAGGCTGGCTAAAGATAGAATAGGAAGGAATGGTAACAAAGGCTCTGTCTTGGACTTTCTGTCTGAGCCAGCTGACTGTGATTGGCCATTAATTAGAAACAACCACATGAGACCAATCCCAGATGCACCTGTTGCATTCCACAGCAGCAGATAATCAATGTTTACATTTTGTTCCTGAGGCCTCCCAGCTTCTCAGGAGGAAAAATCCTAAGGAAAGGATATTTCATAAAAGATGTCTGTGACAAGAGTAATTTCTGTCCTCTGTGCCTGGTCCTTGGGTACCAGATGTGCCTGCCAGGGTCATTTCTGTTCTCCCTGCCTGATCCTGGCTCTGTGTGATTTGGTGCATCCCTGCATGATCAGTAACCACGTTCCATGAGCAGTAATTGTGTTCCTGATCCCACTAAGGTGGCAGGTTTTCTTCCTGATTCACCTCAGGGAATTTCTGCCTTTGCCCTCCCGCCCTCACATCCCCTTGGTGCCCCTTCCACCCCTCTCTGTGTGGTTCCATGGGGTATCCCCCACCCCACCCCACCTCCTGCCAGCCTGCAGGTGGGACCCCAGCTCCCCTTTCTCCTCCATGCCCCTTTGCCCTCACAGATCTCCCAGTTTGCTTTTCATTAAAGGGAACCTGTGACTTCCCATCACATCTGCCTTACCTTGTGCCTCTCTTTTGCTTCCCATTATTCTGATCTTCTGTCACTTTGAGGATTAACTCATTGGATGTTGCTGCTTGTTTTCCTGGAGTAGGATTTCACCAGGGTGTTCTGGCCCAGGGAATCTCCTGGGGAAGGGATGAGGAGGGGCTGAGGGAGCTGGGAAGGGGCTCAGGCTGGAGCAGAGGAGGCTCAGGGGCCCTTGTGGCTCTGCACAGCTCCTGACAGGAGGGGACAGCCGGGGGTGGGGCTGTGCTCCAGGGAACAGGGACAGGAGCAGAGGGAACGGCTCAGGCTGGGCCAGGGGAGGCTCTGGATGGATATTGGGACATTTTTTTCCTGAATAAAGCATTTTCAGACATTGCAACAGACTGCCCAGTACAGTGGTGGTGTCACCATCCCTGGCAGTGACCCAGGGATGTGTAGATGTGGCTTTGGGGACATGGGTGAGTGGTGTCTGCCCAGGTCCATTGCTGTTAGCAGCTGCATTGGATGTTCTTGATTTGAACATGAAAAATACTTTGGAACAGAACCAGAAAATCCCAGACTGGTTTGGATGGAAGGGACCTTAAAGCCCATCCAGTGTCACCCCTGCCATGGCAGGGACACCTTTCCCTGTCCCAGGCTGCTCCCAGCCCTGCCCAGCCTGGCCTTGGGCACTGCCAGGGATGGCAGCCACAAACTCTGGGCAAGGTGCAGCAAGAGGTGCTGGATTTGTGCATGGTCTGACTCTCTGGATGTGTTTGTTCCCTCTCCAGGCAAAAGAAGCTGGTGCTGATGACACCCTGGACATATCCAGATGTGAGCTCTCAGAGGTATGTCCTCTACACTTACAGCCTTCACTCACAGCTCTGATTCTCTGTCTGCTTCTTGGAAACAGCTGTCAGACTTACTCTCATGCCTGTGAGCCTTGAGACAGAAATTGTGGCTGGTCCACCTTTTCCTTTATCTCCTGAGTTCTGGGGGGCTTCTTCCCTGTTTTTTGGGTTGGTGGGAGTTTGCCTGTCCTATCTCATGGTTGAACACCATTTCCTGGGAATCCTTTAGAAGGACAGAGTGGTCTCATACCCTCCACCTTGTTTGACCCTAGTTTGGGACCTCATGGCTTAAATTTGCTGCTCCTGAGGGAATTGGTTTGCCAGAGGTTGAGTATTTCTAATCTTAGAGCTACACAGTCTGCCAGCCATGGTTGTTTTCCTGTGTAAGTGAGAATCCCAGTCCTGCTTCCAAGCTGCTGGGTAAGGATTTAAGGATGGAAGTCTCACCCCAGCTTGGCTTCTTATGGCAATCAACTAAATGAGAAACAATCTTCTGGTGTGTGGGCAGGCAGTGACAGAGTGCCAGGCACCCAGACACAGCTTTTCCTCAGGCAGAAACTCATTTCTATCTCACTTTTTACAAAATGTTGATCCTGAATACAGGATGCCCTTGCCAAGCAAAGTGTGGAGATGTGACACCATCCTGGAGAGGAGAGCTGCCTGCTGTGCAGTGTGAACTGGCTTTGCTGAGACTTTGGGGTGTTTTGTTCCAAGCTCAGGAGCCACCAGCAGCTCTGTGTGGGACAGCCTGGGTGTGGCAGACAGAGGATCCACCCAGCCACCCCACTCAGGGCCACAGCTAAGCTGGTAAAACTGTCTTGCTGCTCATTTTCATTGTTGTTTCAATAAAATGAGTGAGACATCACTTTGGTTTTACAATTAACCATGGACAGGGGTCTGGCTGCTGCTGCTTCTGTGCTGCAGGGAAGGTCCCAGTGCCCAGCTTGCCTGGCAGGGGCTGAGCTGGCACCTCCTTGCTCTGCTGTCCCTCTCCTGGCACACCAGGGTCACCCTGCCCTGCCAGGTGCTCCCCTCTCTCTCTCAGCACACTGCAGGGTGGTTGTGAGGCTGCCAAAGCACAGAATGCATTTCTGTGATGAGAAAGCTGAACCTTTGCCTGACTCATCTGCACAATGAATATTAAATCACACAAGGCTTGAACTCCTGCCTGAGCCTGTTCTGTGCCACTGTTGTGTCTTGGAGAGCCACTGGGAGCTGCTTAAATGGAAACTCCCTGGGAAATACTGGGCCCAAATCACAGGGCAATGATTTTAAGCATCACTTTTATTTCCAGTCAAACTGTTCACACCTTACAGGTGGACAATGTAGAACTGCTTAAAAGAGAAGTCTGACATGTCTATTTGTTTATTGTTTTTAGGTTCCTTATGGGGCCTTTGCAACTTGCAAGGTCTTGCAAAAAAAGGTAATGTTTAAATCAGAAATTATTAAATAATGATTAAATAATTCTATTAATATGCTTAACTGTTGTTGTCATGTTTGATATGACTGTGTGTGGTTGTTTTAGGGTGGTCCAGAAGGAATTTTCTTGTCAGGGATTTGTCCACCTGTGTGATACTACAATAGAGAGCATTTTGAGTCAGATCAATCCTGTTTGTGTTTTTTACAGTTAATTTCTGCCAGGAAAGAGCAGGTGGTTGTTCCTGTCTTAGCCCATCTAAGGGTATTTCTCATGTGAGGAACTGGGCTCTGGTTTAGATCTCATGTGAAATGTTTGACTTCTCTGACAATCCATTTCCTACTGCAATGTTTTATATGATACTGAATAAGATATTGAGTTCTTGTGCAGCCTCCCCAGTTCAATCCCCATAAAAATTGCTTCTTCTGGTGTCCCATGTTTATGTGACAATGAGGTTTTTCCTCCCCAGGTGCTGATTATTCATACCAATAATCTGACATCCTTAGTTCCAAAGTCCTGCAGCCTCCTGAGTCTCATAACTGTGAAGGTAATTGTGATTCTTTTCCTATTTTCCTTGATTTGAGCTGCACTAAAGCACAGCAGCCCAAGTCAATCCCTCTGGCTGGCTCAGGGATCAGTACCAGGCTGACCCCTGCCTTTTCTGGGTTCAGCTCCAGGCTGGCAGACAGGGGGGTTTGTGGCACATCACCATCAGTCCCACACCTCATTTATCCCTTCAGAATCCCACAGTTTCCCCCTCAGGAGGGAGGGAGGGCTCCAGGTCTTGTCCCACCCTCCCCCTGCACTGCTGTGGGAGCAGTTCAGCTCACTGATCCTGCAGAAATTCCTGCTGCCAGCTTGGTTCCAAGGGGATGATTTATCCAGTTGGCTCCTCCAGTTTTGTGGAACAGCTCCCTCAGTGTCACTGCTCTCCCTTGTCCCTTGTTTGTTACTGATGCCTGAATTTCCAAAAACCTCCAAGAATTAAGTGTCCATGTCCCCTGCAAAACTGGAGCTGCTTTTCAAAGTCCCCATTGGAAGCAAAGTAATTTTCATTGTGAGATAATTCATGACTTTTGTTCCCAACCCTGTCTGGTGACATCATCTGCTTTTCCAGGTTCTGGATCTGCATGACAACCAGCTGGCATCACTTCCTGCTGATATTGGTCAGCTGACAGCCCTTCAGGTAAAAGATTTGAGGTGTCTGTACAGGGCATGGAAAAAAGGAGAAAGGAGCAGGAGAAGCCAGGCTTGGTTGTGTTCTCCAGCTTGGTGCAGCCCAGGCGGCTCCCATGGCCAGGCAGATGCTCTGAGCAAGCAGAGTCCTGCTGATCTCCCCAGACATTCAGGTTTTGCTGTTCTCCCTGGGGTGGTTATGGTGAGAACCCAGAGCAGTGTCTGAGGGCACACTCAGGGTCTCTCTGCTCAGGGGCAGCTTTAGCTGAGAGCTGGAGTTGGGGAGGGCTGCCCTGGACACTCCAATTCCCAGTTCCTGCATCTGCATCCAGCACCAGATGTTGGTGGTGAGCAGAGTTTCTCACTGCCCCTGCTAGCTTGGCATGCCCTTTACCCATGGGCTATCCATACTTACCCATGGGATATCCATATTTATTTATATGGAAAATACATTTTTTTAACCCTGAAAGTGCTATCTACAACCAATTTCAAGTTGTCTGAAAGTCCCAGCAGCACAGATGTGTAGAAGACATGAGACTTGGATGAATATTTTTATTATTTTTTCTGTTAATACCTTAGGTCCTAAACGTTGAAAGGAATCTTTTAAAAAGCCTTCCACAATCTATAGGAGACCTTGCACAGCTCCAGGTCCTCAATGTGAAAGGTATGGAATGGGATTGCTCTGGACAAAGCACATTTATTATCATGGTGAGCTGCATTAGCAATTATTCCTTTCAATCAAGACAAACCAGATGGTTTACACTCTGAGTGCTGAGAAGAAGCACAAGGAAGGTTTGAATTCACATAGTTGGCAAGGCAGGAGAAATGATCTAAGCAGAAAATGTGTCAGCCTCAAGCCCTCCAGTAAAGCAAGCAGAGCACTCAGCCTGATAAACTGGATTACATTTGGGTCCCCCAAGCCCCAGAGCTGGCTCCTGTGTGTCCCCACAGGTTTGCACAGCCCAAGCACAAAGGTCACACCTCTTTTCCAGACTCCTGGACATTCTCCAGCTATGCAGTGCCATAAATCTGGGAGAAAAAGGAGATTTAGTTATGTGGAGCTGTTGTTGAAACAGGGAAGGCAGTGGAGGGTGAGGAGCTTGGAAGGGCAGCTCAGATCATTGCCTGTCTGTCTGTCTGTGTGTCTGTCTGTCTGCAGCGCCTGGGGTGTGCAATGTCACGCTCCCTCCCATTCCTCCCATCCCTGGGGCTTAGACCAAGGGAAGAACATCCCATGTTACAAATATTCACCTGATAAAGAGCACAGATCCAGCCTGCAGCAGTGAGCTCAGCTGAGGAGGAGATCTGGAGCCCAAATTGCCCTTGGTGGGCAGTGCCATCCTTTGAGTCCCTGTGTGACCTGGCACAGCCCCATGTGTGTGGTTATGGATTGGTGCTGGAACAGATGAGCTTGGCCTCTGGTTTGGGAAGGCTGGAAAAGGAGACTCAGGGCTGCCCCCATCACTGCACAGCTCCTGAAAGGGGCCTGTGCTCAGCTGGGGCTGGGCTCTGTCTGCAGCAGCACTGACACAGCCAGAGCACACAGCCTCAAGGGAAATNCAGGGCTGGGAGCAGCCTGGGACAGTGGGAGGTGTCCCTGCCATGGCAGGGGTGGCACTGATGGATTTTTAAGTCCCTCCCAACCCAAACCAGCCCATGACTCCATCATCTCCCATAATCTTAAACACAGAACTCTGCTGATGTGCATCCCTGGCACTGCAGGGATGCCCAAAACAGCCTTGTCTCCCATATACCAGTGTGTTCTGAGTAATCCCAGAGAAAGGTACTGGTATTTTCCCTCTTTTAGCCCCAAAATATTGAGAACCAAATCCAAGGGAACACTTACTGTTCTTCTGCTTCTTCCTGTCACGAGGTGGCTCCTTCAGAGCTTTGATAATCAGAGCAGAGGCAGAAGGAACAACCTCTATCTAAATACAAAGAAATTAATTTCCCCCCCATTCGAAGATACTCAATTAACCTATTAATTATTTCAGCAAAAGTAATTGCCAGAGCAGCGTGGGAATTATCAGCTCCCTCACGCTCCAGGTTTTTTGTGCTGCAGGGATCTGTTCCCAGGTTTTCGGCACAGGCCTCCCCACCAGCAGGAGAGGACTGCTTCCTGCCTGGGGCTTCCTCTCAGCTCACCACTGGAATGTACCAGCCACGGACAGCAGAACAGGTACGGTGGCAGGTGGCTACAGGAGTTGGCAAGATTTGAAATTATTTATTTCTATGCAGCTTTAAGTAAGGCTTTTTTGCCTGTTCCAAGTTCTGTAGAAAGAACAATTTATCTGCACCAGGATGAAAGTTGCATCTTGGCAGATGAGGATGTCTCCTTGGGATCCTCCAGCCTGACAGGTCCCAGGCTCCACCACATCCCCCCACCCACGTTTTAAGGTCTTGCCAGAAGACCCCCACACACCCCCTGTGTGGCACTCATTTTATCCACCTCGGAAGGATGAAGGGCTGAGTGGACCCTGCCGGGATCCGGGCCGGTGCCTGGAGCAGGCGGAGCCCGCTTGGGCTCCACGCCTGC